CACTATTGTGCCTCCCATCCCTTGCGTCCTCCTTATCTCTCACATCATCATTTTCAAATTCCAACCTAAATAGCTTCATACACACATGCCTTGACAGAAACGGTTCATCATAGTTGAAACGGAGTCTCTTCTTCCTCATATCTTCCATCTTATATCTACTCAATTTCGTGATAAATTGTGGTAGGTTGGATGCTCATTGGTTGTTACTGTCCTCTGGTTTCCTTGGATCGCTCCTCTCATAGAGTCTTGTCAAAATCATAACAATAGTGACGTCAAGTGGTTGTTGTAGCTTGACTTGAGAAGTGATATATTTTTGTAGGCCATTATTGCAAATCTCAACATCTTTTCCATTGTGTTTCGGCATATAAGAGGACCAAATCTAAGGTCTTTATGGGATTTAAATTCTTCCAATAGAACTCTAGTGGATCTTGCTCCAACTTTGGAATCATAGTTGGGCATCATCTTCAAGGTAAAAAGAGGCTAAACCCATCTTGTCTTCTTTAGCTATCCTTTGGTGTTGTAAGAAGTGCTCGCACTAGTTAATCCATCCCAATAGATCAGTTGAGCCATCATATCTAAGAAAGTCTAACCTTATGATTCAAGCACTAGTGTCAAAAGAAGTACTTGCACTGATTAATGCAACACAGCGGATTAGTTGAGCCATCATATATACGAAAATCTAACCTTATGACTATAGCATTGTACTTCACCGCTATGTATCGCTGTTGAAGTCAGCCAGCTTTTTATCGTTTCGACCTGAGTGGCGAACCCACAACGTCTCTTCTCTAAGGGAACATGATCCTCCTAGTCTTTCTTCATAAACATCTCAAATTGTTGTTGGAAACTTTTAAAGTCCTATGTGACCATCAACTCTGATACCAATTTGTCAGGATCCCAAGCTGTGGACCTAGTCACATGGCCTACTAGTGTGAAATCCTAAAGCAAGAAAGCTACTTGCTTCCCGATTTTTGGCAGTTACCAACCTATGCTGAGGTTTGTCTAAGAAAATCTCTTATCTTTTAGAGAGAAACTCTTTAGATTAAACATTGATACTTTTACTCATGAAATATATGTATCTAAAGAGAAAGCTAATTGAATTAGACCCCTATTAAAATTCCAGGAATCACGATCTCTTTTATTTTAATTCCTAATCTAAATCTAAATATAAATTTAGGAATAATTGATGAGAGCAAGGATGGACAAGAGAATTTCCAAAAGCATGAGACACATTCCACAAGTTAGTGCCAATCTGGGGGAGGAAGAGAACCCGCAAGTTACAAGATTCCCGCAAAAAAGCAGGAATCTCGCGAGAAAACACCTACCCGCGAGAAAGGAAGAGTCTACAGGCACTCATTCACACAAAGTGGCCGCGCGCACGTGCACACAACTAGAGGGTCGCATGCGTGCACGCCAACTCGCGTATGCTTGCATATTCGTCCATAGGTCAAATAGGATATATAATTATTGGAATAATTGTTGGATACTCAAATGATGGATATGCAAGCATGATAACTTATATGTTGTTCTATATCTCCACACAAGTAACAGAGAATGTACGAAAGCTTTAGAATATTATTTTCTGGCATTAGAACGAAACTCGTTCTTACCTTAAACTTTTAATAATATGGTTGTAATCTGTCATTATGTGAGATTATCTCCACTATAGAAGAAAAAGGAAAGAAAGATAAAGCCAATGTTATAGAGTATATAGCTTCGATCATAGGGATCAATTTCTAGTCGCACAGCTTCATTTTCCTTTGAATTAAGCCAACATCCGCTATAGTTGTTATTCAATTTAAAGAATTCTTTATTTCAAAACCGTACATAAGATTTTCATCTCATAAGACTCCTCCAACTTATCCATGCACGTGCACCAGTGCACCCGAAGAATCATCCGCGCCCTCGGGAGGGGATTTTCCTACAGGAATAAAGAAATCCACGTTCGCGAGGATTCCTGCAAGTCCCACTCTAAAAAGAAAGGTACTTTCGGCCCTAGCTTGTTTCCTAAACTAGATCATCACCAAAGTCCATCAATGAATGTCCAAGGAAATGAACTTGAAGCCCACATGACAACCCACAAGCTTGAGGGTATCTATAACCTTAAGAGGAAATTCAGTTTGGCCAAAGAAGAAGCAAAATTTGGCCCACTTGGCCTTGATCCTCCTTGGCATGCCCCACACACGTGCGCACACCAACTCAGATTATTGTTTCTAGCTTATACTAATCGTGAGTGAGGGTTCAATCAAGTGAAGTTTCTTTAATTGTCTTGTTGAGCCAATGAATCGAATCGACTTATCAGGTAAGCTCGTGGCGTCTTTTTTGTTCCATCTTGATTTCCAATTACCTTATTTTGCATTCACAAATTGAATGTGAGTTAAATAGAAATGGCTTATTTAGAAATTTAAGTTTTCTGCATGCTGATGTTATATGCGAAGTTTTGGTCGCACTATTGATCTTGGATTCCACATCATTTGCTATTCAGAGCTTAGACTCCAAACAAATCTATTATCCTTTTATTTTCTTGCCTTGCATCCTTACTTTGCATAATTAGCACTCACTACAAAAGGTGTTACTCTATTGTTTGCATATCACTTGAAACCCCATTAATCTTTGTTATTCAAGTGATTTCGTGTTACTATAGTCAAAAAAGAAAAATATAATATATCTTATTCATAGTGTCCTACATAAACACACACCATCTTCATTATTTGTTTGCATTAAATCTAGCATTGCGTCATAATTTCCTTTCCCTAATCCAAACTTGAGCACCTTGATTCAAGTGGAGGCGATTCCAATGCTCAACTTGCAGGAAGAAGATAAACACGAGTGAAAAGTGAGGGAGAGGCTATTTTTTCACTAATCTTTTTTTGCAGGTTTCTCACTATGTTTTTATAATAAACTAACCACAATAAAGTTCCATATGGAAGAGCTCCAATGACTGCCTAAAGGATGGGCAGAAGAAAGGCAAAAATCTCTTACTTTATCTAGCGCCAAGGATAAACCCAAGAGGAGGAGGCCCACTCATGTGATGCCTTGGAGGAAAGACAACCCAATTAAGAAGAAAATAACAATGCCGCAAACATCAAGAATTCTATCAAAGAGAATGCATCAGAAGGGGAGGAAATTGGCAGCAAGGAGAAACAGTGTTTATTAACTAAACTTTCCTTTTATAGTCCTTATGTTTTGCAAGATTTCAAAAATTTCTCACAAGAGAAGTCCCTACTTGTGGAAAGTTCAAATTCGGTGACGAATTCTTTCAAAGAAGGGAGAGATGATGCGAGCAAGAATAGGCCAAGAGAATTCCCGAAAGCACCAAACACATTGTGCAAGTTAATGCTAATCCACCGGAGGAAGAGAACCCGCAAGTTACAAAATTCATGCAAGAAGCAGGAATCCCACAAGAAAACGGCCACCCACAAGAGAAGAGTCAACTCACCTGCATGGAGAAGGAGGGTCGTGCACGTGGACGCCAACTCACGCACGCACCCGCACGTGCGCACAGACGTGCCCGAAGAGCCATCCACGCCCGCAAGAGGGGGATTTTCCCCACAGGAATAAAGAAGTCCACACCCGCGAGGATTCCTACAAGCCCCACTCCAAAAAGGAAGGTACTTTCAGCCCCAGCTTGTTTCACTAAACTAGATAATCACTAAGGCCCATCCATGAATGTCCAAGAAAGCGAACTTAAAGCCCACATGACAATCCATGGGCTTGAGGGTATCCGTGACCTTAAGAGGAGATTCGGTTTGGCCCAAGAAGAAGCAAAATTCAGCCCACTTGGCCTAGATCCCCCTTGGCATGCCCCACTCATGGGCATGTGCGAGACAAATGTGGCCGCACGGATAAGGACAAGAAAAATCCCGCCCGTGCAGGATTCCTTCCCCAATGAGAACTGCACTTCAACCTGCGAGCTTGAAGGAGAAATTCTAGGTGAAACCAATTTTTGGAATCTAATTAAACTAGGATGTGCAACAAGGATATACATGAAGGATGAGAGATGTTGAAGATTCCTAATCCAAATTCTAGTCTTTATAAATTCCTATTTTATTGAAGAAGAATTATAGAAGAATGAGGAAAGTTCCAGATAAATCTTATCCCAAGCTTGGTCGAGTTCTTTTTAGGAATTCTACTTAAGGAAGAGTTGGTTTTTATTTAATCTTGGACACGTCTTGGATCAATTTCAACTCAAACATTTCAACAACAAATTAATTAATTAATTGGAAGCCTCCTAATGCAACAAGGAGATCAATTTCAGCCACACCAAGGATTTTTTTTCAAAGAGAGGAGAATTTTATTTCTATTTAATTTATGCAATTTTAATTGTTTCCTATATTAAGTTAAATTAAGAATTTAATTAGAATTTTAATTTTTGATTCTTATTCAAATATGTAAGATGAATGCATATATAAAGGCCACCACCCGTAATTTATAATAATAATTTTCAAATTAATAAAATTATTCAGATTATTGCTTTTACCTTATGCTAATTGTGACTGAGTGTTTAATCAAGTGAGGTTTCTTTAACCGTCTTATTAAGCCACGGAATCGAATCAATCTATCAAGTAAGTTCATGACGTTTTTTCTATTCCGTCTTGATTTCTAATTACCTTAGTTTGTATTTACAAGTTGAATGTGGGTTAAGTAGAGAGGATTTATTTAGGGATTTAAGTTTTCTACATATTGATATTATATGTGGAGTTTTTGATCGCACAGTTGATCTTGGGTTCTGCATCAATCATAATCATAATTTTATTCCGATTTCCTAATTTAAATCTAAATAGAAATATTTGGTAGAAATTTTCAAAGAGTTTTAACTCTTATTAGCTCCTTAGAGAGAACAAGTTCCTATCCAACTATAGACTCAAACTGCTTCTATTTGTTGCTTCAATGTGTCCCATAGCCTTTTTGTGTACGAAACATGAAACTTTATATTTCTAAGAAAATTTGTTGAATCATAAACCATAACAAAACTCACAAATGAAATATTAGAAAACTCACAATTATGTCAATGAAGTTAGCATATCACCTGAATCAAATTTTATTTCAGTACGAGAAGCAGATGTAGTCCACCCTCCAGTTTGTTTAGGGGCAGCTGCAGACCCATCTGGTATAGAGTCAATCCTATTTGGCAATGCAAGGACTAAATCATTACGAGCAGCAAACTCCTCTGTTGAAAGTCCCTTAACCTGTCATTGTCAAATCTCTTGGGACAAATGAGCATATTGCAAAATCCAATGACACACAAGGAAAGAAACAAGTCAGATCTAGTCAACCATATACATGTGTGGTGTTGGCTACAATGATGAAATGTATGGGAATGAGACACTCAATCACAATTTCAGTGACAAAGTTTTTTTTACTCTTGTACACATGACATCTGGTTATTACTGATTTGCTTCCCTTAGATCACATACCTATGAAAGCTTAGAAGTATATAGCGAGGATAGATTGATTTTAATCTTTGATACAGGCAAATATGGTCAAATTATTGATTAATCAAATCAATCATATTAAGCCCAGAATTGGTTATTACAAACATAATTCTCTTCGAAAATAAAAATCCAAATAGGAGAAAAAAGTTTTTGAACAACACAATTTCGTTCCACGATAATGTTCATATATCAGACACAATTTCAAACAAATATCTTCAACTGATAGATCGTGCTAGCAAATATGATAATTTTCAGACATATGTATCCTAAAAGAAAGAGACAAAATAAATAAAGATGATACAATCAACAAAAACTCGTCAAAATGGCAAATTCTAACCTTTTTGATGGCTAGCCTCTGCAACTTCGGGACTTCCTCCAGTAATCGAGCTTTTGTTCGACGAATCTCTGCATTTAAGGCAACTGCAGATGCCTTGTTTTTCTCTGTGGAAGCAGCCTCCGTTTTCTGCAGATCAAATTACTCATAATTCGACGGAAAACTGACATGTAAAACCCTAATCTCAACACTCTTCAGTTTATGATTACGATTCAGTAGCCATGGAAAGATATAAAGAAAAAATAGAAAAGCTAAAACTGTTTTCTCATACATAATGATAACTTCAATTCACAAACAAGTCTAAATCTAAAAATTGACTTAATTGGACTGCATTTTCCGCAAACTTCGAAGCCAGAGAAAAAAAAAATCGAATCATCTGATTTAAAGTTTTCGCATGGTTTCTTTTCGCTTCTTCTGCTCTCTCAGTAACCAAACAGAGTCAACCTTACAAAACTTCAGAAGACCCGGAGAGAGAGAGAGAGAGATAGATGGAAGTTACCTGAAGAGCAGCCTCGATATCTGCCTCAACGACGGCATACAAGCGAGCAAAGGCATCATCTCCTGAGACATTGGCATCCCTCTGCTTTTCGACGTCGTATTTGTCATACTTCTTGCAGATCACGTCTACTCTAGTCAAGATATCGATTACGCTCATTTTTCTCGTGGTCTAGAAATTCTTTCTGTATCTCAAAATCACTTCAACCAAGAGTTATAGAAGCAATTTCAGAGAGGGAAAACAGAGATGAATTTATTGTGTCCTGTTATTCAAGATCTTAACTCGAGACTGAGCTGCTGAGGCAGTCTCATCGGGGAAGGTAGGAGAAACCACCGGCTCGGCCTGACATTTTTGTTTTCTTTTTCTCTCTCTCAAACGGTTTTTTTTTAACTTTTTCCTTTCTTTCTTTTTAAATAATTGTTATAGTGGTTAAAGCTAAGTTCTAATGGACAAAAGATAATAGAAAATCAAAATTTTTAAATAAAAAAATTGTGAGTAAATCGAATTATAAAATCAAAAAAATAATTCTAACTAAATTTTAATACTATATATTTAAAATATTAAAAATAAAATAAATTTAATATTATAGACAACTAAAAAATTTAAAAAAAAAATTCAACTATTTAAAACAATAAATATTAATTCATATCACGCAGTTATGTACCATGTATAAATTAATATATATATATATATATAAAGAAGAGATTGCAT